AAAAAACAAAAAACAATCAATAAAGCAAGCAGTAAATGCCAAACATGAAATAACTGCTCCTGGGTGCTGAGATGTGTCTGGAGTCTGACAAATCACCACTTAGCTGAGGCTGAGAGGCTTACTCTGTCAGTGAAAGTCATCTTCTCAAATATTCCCAATTTTCTGAATTCAGGGCATAGATATCTAGAGCTAGAAGCTTCTTGAGGAACTGACTTGTCTCTTTCTTTTGTTTCTAGGTAAAACCAAATACTTCACATCATCCTCATTACGCAGTACTCCAAACAGAACTTAGTCAGATCCCATTGTGTGTGCATGCGCACACTCACCAACTTCAAGTTAAAGGTCTGAAAAATGGGATTAGTTTTTATTCTCATCCAGTTACAGGTGATGTCTGTTTCCAAGCTATTAAATTACATTACACAGGTGTTTGCCAGCAATGGAAGTGATGATATAACCCTACAAGAGTCTTTCCATTCTAAAACAGGAGTACACAGTGATCCATGACAGTAAACCAATAGGTTCAAAAAAACAGCAATACAAAATACTGAGTATTAATTGCTATATTGCAAGGACTACTTGAGATATTTTTTATGAAACCTCTTTAGAAACTGACCACTAAGTCCGTGGTCCACAGACTATAATCTGTGAATTAACTTCAGTTTTGGGTTTAATTTATAAACCCCAACAATCGAGTTTGACTTGTCAAAACCCCCCCAAAATCCCAAAACCACCACCAACAAAAAAAGCCCCTCTTATGTATCCTTTTTTTTTAATCTTGTTCAAAACCAGAAGATTTTGCACTATCCATGATGTTAAGGTAGATCTGTCCCAGATCTAACACTAGATTTTTAATTTTTATGAAACCATGGTTAATGCAGTCACGTTCCCACATAATGGTCTTCACATGGTCCTATGATATTCTTTGCTAACCTCTCACTTTGTTAGTCAATCCCTTTGCCCGTTTCCCTTCTCTGATAGAGTTGCATTTTCAAATCATCAGTTAAAAGCTCAAGTATCAACAGTTAATAGTCCATGTAATGATTACACCCAGCAATAATAGAATTCTTCAAGTTAGAAATGGATCAGATTGAACAGCAAGAATTACTTCATCGGTTGTAACCAGTAAGAAAACATTTGTGAAAGCTAGAATCAAATACAATTCAATTTAGCATAATCCATCCTAGGCCTTGACCACTGAGCTTTCAAATTACAGCCTCACAGAATTCCAAGTGTTCATTTTTCCTCATGGACTATTTAGTTTCCCTTCCTTTCTTGTATATATCTTATTCTTTTGCTTGCTTGCTCAAAGCTTAGAATTATATTCAGAGATACACATTTTTGCAGTGGAGTGGAGTGGGAACTCAAATATGATTTATATGAAGGAATCTTGACCTCCACAGCACGATGTCAAGGACGAATACTGCTTTAAATACAAGGTAAACTGGTAATGGGCACATTTTTATTGAAAATATTTTAGCAGCTCTTAAAAAAATGTTCTTATGATGAAAGATGCTGGACCTTGAGGTTAATACAATGTTTGTTTGACCAGTCTTAAAATCATAAAATGATTTAATATTTTGCTTAACCTGTAAGTAGAATACTATGGGAAAATGATTACCTGTACTTACATCTTTTTGTTCTGTTCTTAAGCTGCAACATTTAACTTCGTACACACAGTTTCGAGTAATCCCAACACAGAATTGAAAAACATGTCAGTAGTTCCATTTCAAGATAGTTTTAATCGGGTCATTACAGGAAAAAACATACAACAATTTTCATGGTGTTATCTGCTATGTCAACTTACAAGGTGTCATGTAACAAACCAGTTACAAACATAAAGGCATATTTACATTATATACTCAAAGTAACAAGCTATATTCATAAAGGAAACACCTATGGGATGAGTTAACTAAATTATACATCATTTAGTAGAAAGAAATAGCAGTTGAGGTTTAATGGAAACAATATACACGAGGCACTTTGAGGTCATTAGGGTGGAAAGCAAATGGCACCAAGCAAAAGAACAACGACTACGTACAGCTATGCTGCAGCTTTAAACATGAAGGCTTCTTCTTCACCAAATGCTTTTGGTTTCTTTAATGAACCACAACTTTTGCAATTAAGAGAGAGAAGCTTTCAGGGAAAAAAAACAAACCCAAACCTAAACCACCTCCCAAAACTCTCCTTGTGTTTACTGGTGCACTGAAGGAAATAAACGTTTCATCCATGCAGCTACTGGACTAACAGTACCATAAGGTATCATTTTAAAGTTGTTTTGTTACCAGCCACCACCCTTGATCTTCATTCAATTAATACAAATGTGAAAAAATTAAAAATTAATTTAAACCTGTGCATTTTTTACGGGGACTTCAGCATTATCTGCCAGGTACACATAAACAGATCATTCTGCAGAGCACACATCTGAAACGGGAATGTTGTATTCCAACATGCACAATTAAGACATTCTTCAAAATACTGTTGTTTCTCTAGAGGAAACTGAAACAGTTAAGCCTGTATGGACCATCCTTTACATAAGCTATGGAAATGAGTTTTGTGCCATCACTTGCTGCTGTTTACTAAAGCGTTACCACAGTAATTGTAGGTTATTATCAGAATATTGCTGTAATCTTACCCACAGCTGTAGGTATGCCCTTTCCAACTACTGAATAGCATGTGCAGGCGCACAGACCAACCCGTGTGTACCCAAAACTTCATTCATGCCACAAACCAAAGGCCGAGATTCCCTCTGCATGAACATCAAACGCTATCACTTTGCTGTGGGAAAGAATTAAAGAGGAGGGGAAAATAATAAAATAAAAAATAATCTCTTATGAACCCAGTGACAGAATCAAATGAATTTAATTTCATTCCTGATTTTGATGCTTTTGTGTAATAGGCAGCCATAACTATTTTAAATTTAACAAAACATATGGTTATTTTTACTTTCAATCAATATTAATAATGAAACTTAAGAAGTATAATGAGATAAAGAATAACAGAGTCCAAATTACTATTTTATAAATTCGTAACTCAAGCTTTACATATTTTTGTAGCTTCAGTAGTGCACCAACAGCCAGTTAAATCATGATGTAGTCAAGCACTGGGCCTGAATGCAGCTGAAATATTTTTCCCCCAGTAGATGGTGCAGGAGTGCTGCTGGCATTTAATTTCTTTCCCCACTTTCAACAGGAAATACTCAATTTTCAGGGTAACCAAGGCTTTCAACACACCAGGGACTTAATATTCAATGAGGGTTTCCCAAGGCTCGGGTCTCACTTCCAAGCAGCACAAAGCTCTCCTACTACATGTCTAACAAACTACAGTTCTGACTTTATGGGCAAGGGGAGTAGCAAGGACTGGGGAAGAAATTTGTCTCTTCCTAAATGCTTAAGTATTATAGAAGAGACAGAACAAATGTTACGTGCTATCCAAAACAAAAGATGCACAGATATAACATCCCATTCTGGAATGGGTTTGTGTACTCACCTCCTAACTGAAACAGGGGGCGAGACCCCTAATACCAAAAGAAAAGGTATGCGTACATCATACAAACCCAGCCCTTACACAGTAAGCATGTATCTCTGTAGCTCTTTTAGCTGCTCTCAAATTGGGCATGCAGGCTGACACTTCCAGCACACAAGAAAAAGTGAACACATCAAGTTTAGTAACCATTACCTTTTTAGATGGATCAAATCTTCAAAGAGGAATGCAAAAGATGACACCATTTTAGCAGCAATGTGATTAAATGCAAGGTGAGAATATTAATGCACATATTCAATAAAAATATTAAAGCATATATGTTTCATATAAAATACAGTACAGGACCAGGAGTTTCACTATGTTGTATAGTGCTCAGAGGAAACTGTTAAAATCATTTCTTTCTTGAAGTATACATACAACAGGATTCTATAGCATTTTCCTATACAGCCAGCAAGTTCTTTTCTTAGGTCATTCATATGTTTCTTCACCTTGAATTAGGAACCTAGCATGTACAAATAGTAAATTCCTCTCAATCACTAGAAAAACATCACTTTTTATCAAAGTTCTTTTTAAAGTTAACAGTCTATTCTAGGCAACCAAGTTTAGCTGAAAATGTGTGAAGCATGAAAACCAACCAGAGTAGCAGCTTTCAAATATATAAACAGTAAAAACCAAGACCGCTGCTACCGTGTCATATTCTTGGACTTAATTCATCCAGTCAACTCTCAATACAAAACTAGAAGCTCTTCCGTAACTTCTACAGTTATCAATATATGTCGTCTTTTCAATGTGAAATAATACTCTGAGATGATCTATGTACACAAGGTGGTCAATTCAAGTTGTAATATAAATATAAATGTTTTCTTTTAAAAAGTATTTTTACAGACAGTTAATGTTATATACATTTGCTTATTTTACTCCTGGGCTACAAAGGAAAATTAAGGGCACCAATGCATGCAGAAAGAAAAACTACATAAAAAATATATGGAAGAAATGCACAGGAAATGAGAAAAAGTAAGTCATCTTTTAAAATCAATTCCTTTTTTTGTTTGTCTAATAACAAGGGTACACTGAAGACAGTCCTACTCCAGCCAGGATATCAATTAGGCACCGTCGCTAATGAATTGTTACTGGTTGTAGTGTTTTACGTATCTATAATGAGAAGTAAATGTTTCTTACTTCATGACAGAGCAAAGCACGAAATGGTTTAACAAATTCTCTATGGGTTAATCAGTTAATTCTTATCTGAAAGTTAAACACTTAGTAAGTACAAAGCCATAACAAGTATCGTACACAAGATACCACCACACAGACACATACATTCTCTCTCTCTCCCCACTTCCCCATTCTCCCTGTGAATTTCCTCAGTTAAGACGTTCACTCCAATTTTGCCTGGGCTGTTAATTTATTTCTCAAGCTAAGTCTTTTCTTGCTGTTTTTGAACAAAACACACAGTACTTTTGTTCTTGCCCATTCAAATAAGAGAAAGTTGAAGTTCAAAATAATGAAAACAATTTCACTTTTGTTATTAATCTTTTGTTTTAATCATAGTACTTGATAAACAGCTGAACAGGATCCTAGTTTAACAGAAGGATAAACAAGAACACTGATGACAATTTGTTACAACTGCCTTAATGTACCTTTTGCTTAATGAACATTTGAATATGCAATAAAGTATTTTTGGAGGACACCCCAAAAGAAAACAACTTGCTGGTTGAGCAACAGAAACAACTTCCTTTTTGCTATTATGTTGAAATCAAAGTCATTTATATATAAAAATAAATGTTATGTTCTAACAAGAACATTTTAGACAATTACATCTGTGCTTAACAAAAAAAATATTGGTCACTCAAGACTAGAATAATTAATATTTTAAAGGTTTTTAGATTATCAGAATGTATGGATACAACTCAACACAAACTGTAGCTGAAGGGAACCAGGACTGAAAATATGAATTTGTCCATCTGGAATAAAAATGCGACTAAATTAACTAATTAAATATTTAAAATACTACCATGGAATGTGACAGTAGATATGGTCTATACCTACTATATCAGAGGGAAGGGAAGTTTAACATGTAATAATTCGTACCTTACACATTTAGTTAAATATAAACATTTGTTATTTATACATAAAGTTGCTTCCAAAAAACTATTAATAAGTGATTTAGTTGCACTTAAAATCAGTTTCATTTCTCATTTGCCAAGTATTAACTTTTCTTAAGCTTAAATCAACTGTCACTAGTGCACTTTTAGTTAAAATTTCCCCTCAGGTAAGTTTTAATCCTTTTAAAAGAGCCCCCTTACCTAAACCATGAATGTACAAAGTGGCAAAAGTTAATCCCTTTTAGTATAACCATAGTTTATATACTCATTTTATAGCCAATAATAAGAATAGGCTTTCCTTTGCAAAATCTCCTTCACAACTTGCAACAAATGCCACGTAACTCAAAGGAAATAGTTAGGCGTGGCTAGCACTTGTAAAATGCCAAGGTCTGACAAGTCTTGTTGCTTCCTCCACATCAAGCATCTTACATGAAAGAAGATTCCCTTCAGCTTGCCAAAAAGCTTCCACAAATCCAAGTTAGATGCTTCCTGGAAACAAAGATTTTTCAGCTCTGTTTGGCACAAGACTGATTCATCCTGCAGCTTTATGCTTTCCTCCACAGCACCCACACACCTCACCGCAGTGATGGCATGCTCTCAAAGGGAGGTAGCAGCACATACATGGAGCAATGAACGAGAGTGCCACCAGTGCTAACCAGCGTAAGCAGAACTTGTCATCACTAGTGTCACATGAGCAAGGATCAGAGAAATCTCCTTCAGAGTCTGACATGCAGTGATAAAGCATGCTCTCTGCGCAAAGCATGCAACTAACTTGGTAGATACATCTTTTAATAGGATCTGGCGCATCTTGACATTTTCCTCTGCCATTATCTTCATGATTAAACCTCTCCTGGCAGTATATACAGCGGGAACGTTCACCATCTTCTTTTCTTCTTTTTGAGTTTTTAAATTTTGATGAGGAAGGCTGAGTTTTAAATACCACAGAACTCTTTGAGTCTTTCAGGGAATTCAACTTAGTTCCATCCCCACATGGGTATAAATAGTCAGATTTTTTACTGTCTGATTTAGAAAATGGTATATTTGAGTCTGCGTCATCCCTCTCCAGGTCGTTCTTCCACATGTCAGGATGCCTGTAGTCTGCATAACGACGTATCAAAATGTCACGAGGGTTTATCCTAACAATTTCATCTTCATCCTGAAAACTAACATGTCTGATTGACTTCAGTGGCACCTGAAATGGCAAAGCAAGATAAGTTCACTATAGTGTATCCCCGATTTATGTCCACCTACAATGTAAAACTTAGATTAGGAAACGAAAAGCCAGGATTTTTTTCCCTTGCTGCCTGAAGATAAAAATTTCAGCCTATTTTCTTACCAGTACAATTTATAGACTTCCCCACAATAATCATCCTTTTGCATATCAGGACCATGAGCTTTAGTATTCTTTCCTGACTTTTTAGTACCTCATAAATGCTTTGGATATTTTGGTATCCACATAAAACTTCATACTGTTCTTTGAAATATGCTCAAAATTCAGATTTTAACATCTAACAGTGGCAACTACTTCCACAGATCAATTACACCTCACATGAAATTGCTGATTTCACATCACTTATTATCCACTGCTTTATGATTTCACATACCCCCATGCATTCACTGAGTTACTTGTGTTATCTATGAGAAGCTTTCCTTTATTCCTGCTCTAAGTTTTCAAACTTCCTCCACTTTTGCAATAGGAGTATTGAATACTGGTTACTTATTTTCAAAGCTGTATTCCAGATAAGGATTTTACCATATGATGAATAATATTCAGTGGCATGATCAATCAAAACTAATGGCTTAAAAATGCACCTCCCCTTAGCTTATATACAGTAGTTAAATTGATTAGCTTAGGTCACTGGCATGCAAACACCCAAGTACTTTTAAAATTCTTAACTTAGAAACTGACCATAATTCAAGTCCTTTTATCTCAAAAGGCAAGTAAAAGAGAATGTGCTAAACACATAGAAAAACAGCAGAGAGATAAGACAGAGTTCTTGTTTATTCTGCCTTACGATCAAAGGGCATGAAAAAGTTGTTGAAGGTGTCAAATTTGAATCATCTAAACTGAAATGCTGCAGACCTTAGATATTAAGACAGTGAATTGCCACTAAATGTTACTGAAATCCCATTACAAGTGACTTTCAAGAAAAGGTACAAATAACGACAGGATAAACATTTAGGATGTGCATGGAAGGAGCTCGCAAAAATAGCAGTGAGCAAAACAGGAGTCTCAGTATGCCCCTGTGATCCTGCCTCATAGACAGGCAGATATTTTCCTACACTGTGGTGCTATTATGATCAGATCCAGAATATAAGAAAGCTTCAAGTCAAATTCCACCTTTTTCTTCTGTCAAGTGCGCAGCCAACCATCTCATGGTAAAAACTGAAAAACACCCACTCCTTAACCCATTAGCCTTACAAAGTCTTCCAGAGTCATGAATTATTTGGGAATGCATCTTTGGCATCAGTATTGTTGCTTTGAGAATATTTACCTTATTAGTACTGATTAAATTAATGAGAATTAATATGTCACTATTCCATTGTCTAGGACAACAATATAACTGCATGTTCCTAATCTGTGGTGTGTAGCAACAAACAAGTTAACACTCTACTGTTTCACTTTGCACCTGTCTGTGCTCCTACTACACTGAAGTCTGCAGGCCCCTGGTTTTGGGGTGGGAGGCAGAGAAGGAAAGAGGGAAGACAGCTGGGAAAGAGGAAGGAATAGCTTCTTAAAATATGTCAGCTTCTGATTACATAAGAATACCTGTAGCCTGCTCTAACCATCACTTCCCTGCTTAGTAATCCTCATGTGTTAAGTACAAAACTGTAATTAGAGCTGCTTTGCCCTGGTAGTTTCAACTGGAGTATGCTAACATGAATAATACTTTTTTTCTTGGCTCCAAGTTATGTAGCTGGACTTCCACAGGTCTCAAGAATACAGGATGAAGAAAGGTTATATCCTGTTCAGCTAGCATCAGTGATCTTCCATACTTCCACAGGCTTCTATGGAAGCAGTTAGGCCTCCCCTTTGCTTATAAAAGCAGAGTGCTTCTCACTTGTGTTTTCAAACAAGAGAAAGCCTATCGTTTCATCATCAATAACTAGCTATGGCTAACTGGCTTTTCTGAACCGTTAACAGCATAAATTTAAGGGAAAAAGCATCAGAAATAACATTACAATTCTGTATGTTCCAGGCATAAAGGATCCTACTCAACTGTACATGCAGAATATTAGGCATGCATTTAAATGCATTACATAATATCCGCTGTTTAAATGAAAAAAAAAAAGAACAAAACCAAAATCTCAAACAAAAAAAAAAACCCACCCTCAACCTCCCATTCCCCAGCTAATAGCCATTAAAGATCACTACAAATACTAACAACTGTAAAACCCAACCTCTCCCCAGTCTTTGAAGGCTTTTTATTCGTTTGGGCAGAACACATCACATACATAGAACTCATTTCTTTTTCTCAAGCCCTCAGCCAAACACCTATTAAAATGCTTAAGGTCTGATATGTTACAAACAAGGCAGCATTATGTTCTTCATGCAACTGATATCAAGAAACTATTTTTTAAGACAGCAAGTGGGAAACACTGGAAACAAGAAAGTAGGAGAAATGTTGGAAAAGCTTTATAAATAAAGTGCTTACACACTGGGTGTTTAATGGGATCTATATGAAAGAGATGAGATACATGAAACCTTTACAACACTACAGAATCCAGATTCAGTTAGGTACAAATACCAACAAACTTCAACATGAATAATGCACATCGTCCTCTAGGCATTCAAAACTGTAACTCAGTGTAAGTGCCATCTCTGTATCACAGCTGAATCAGGAAGGGAGAAAGAATATGACAGCAAACTGAAATCCCATAGAGAATCTCACTATGAACATGACTAACCAACTGGAAATTAGGCAGAAAATTTTTGTTGACATAACTGAACTTACTGGTATTACACCTTACTTGAACAGGTGCACCTTTAAGTAAGACACAGACACTTCCTTGGTACTGTAGCCTTCACTGCCTCCCCTCAAACAGATATACCTGAATTTGCCCAGCTTGCAACTCCACAACATGAGGACACCAACTACTAAATATATCATCGCAAAGTACTACATATAAGTCAAAAGGACATCAATATATCAAAAGCTAAAGAGTGGAGGGACTTCAGTATTTTTATAACAGCCGAAGGATTACAGGTAAAGATCTGAACTATCATTAATGACTTCTTCAGTCCGGGCTTTTCAACTTACTAGCACAGCCAAACTTATTTATACAAATTGAAACAAACCAGATTATTTGCCTCAAGATCTTCTGTGCCACATGGTCACATGCATGGCATTCAGCAGAGACAATGTGAGATTTTGCTGACTTGCCTATGTTCTAAGAAAATGCAGAAAGCATGGGGTGTCAGATGCAGGTGGTGCTATAGTATAAGAAAAATAATTTAAAGAATATCTACTTAAATTTCCATGGCATCTTCTGTAACTTCAGTTGACAAGAAATGAACTGTCATTTCCAGGAAATTCCTATTTAATATTTATCAGACACTACTCAGAATACCATAGCTTAAATCATCATTTTCTCAGTAGGCAGTTCTATATGTGCTCTTAAAACACACAAGCATTTTAAGACTACCACACTTTCATTTACAATGAAGACTAACACGCATACATCACTGGTTACTGTAGCTGTTGAGTGTTAGCTGCAAGAACCTGACCACCCATCTATTCTACTCAATGATACTTGAAGGTAAAGGGGAAGAGGAAAAAATATGTATCTCCTGATGCAAAGAACAAACAAAAATATGAGGTGACTCACACAAAGAGATAATTGGAGTAGATCAATGATTAAAAATTGTTAAGTTCATAATTTCAAGTTCCTTAGTTAGTTCTTGCTTCTTTTGCCCAATTAAAGCAGTTAGGAAACAGCTGAAACAAGACTTCCATACAGTCCTTTCTTTCTTTGCAATAACGACCAAGGGTATTAAAAAGCTGTATTTCAAGTCGCGTCATTTTCTCTACAAGTGTTCACAACGACTTGAACTTGTGTTCTGCTCTGACTTCTGTTAAGCTTATTCTAAAAAGCTTCCCATGTGTTTGCTTCTAGGTTCAAGACCCTCAAAGTAACTATTATCCAACTCATTATAAAGTCTACTTTTACTGCCTTTAAAAACTGTCAGTTATTTGAGGCTTAGAAAAAATCAAAATCTATATTGTTAAAGGAAGAGTTGTAACATTGTCTTTCTAATCTTTTAAAAACATTCAAAAAACGTCTGTACACCAGCCTTCCTCATGTTAGTGGGTTGTCTTCTGTTTCAAGAATCTGTTTACCAATAACTTAATACTTTTCATGCATAACAGATAAACCATTTTCCTTTCTGTACCAAAACAGAGTATTTTAGTTCAAATGGGCAGTAAGAAAGTATAAAACGCTTCAATAAAAGTATTTAGCAAAAGGTGTAATGCATCCAAGATATCTTTTAAAGACACCTTTCAATATTTCTAATTAAAATTGTACACATGCAACTGAGATCAAGCTCATGCCCAACCAACATTTTCTGAAAAATTTCAACAGTTTTTCGAGGCTGCAGATACTAAGTCTGTAATACAGAAATATGACTTCAGAGAAAGTGAAAGATTTATTCATGCCGTCTGCTGCACTACAAACACAAGTAAATACCTTTGCAAAGCCTTACCTCTGCCATGACAACACTAGTATTTCAGCTGCAAAGCTTATATTGATAATTTCAAGTTGAGAGTATAATACTACAATACAGGGACTTAAAATCAAAGTGCAGAAATCACACACTCTGGTATTAATGCAACAAGCAAAATAAGAACTGCTTCTTTTATCAGTAGTCTTACCTGGTTAGGTTGGTTAGGAAAACAGGCCCTCCTGGTGTTGAAATCCTCAAATGCTGAAGGCCTTATATTTGCACTATTGTAAGGTTCACTGGTTACTACAGTTTCATGTTGGAAAAGGTGATCTTTCATTAATGAACCCGATGTATTTTCTTGAGTAGTCTAGAATACATAAGAACACCCTTTAAATGATTTTGCATTTACACAAAAAACACACAAAACCCACAATGTTCATGCATGAATGCATTAATACTCTACATAATGTGCTAGAGGCATCTATAAACACAAATATTTTAAAATACACATTTTTTAAGTACTTATAAGTATGCAAGTATTTTCTTTACTATAAGTAAGCCTTAGAAAATAGGAGTTCCTTTTCTGCTGAGCATACACAACTTGGGTATTAAAGATCCATGCCTTTAACTCAGTTACCAAATCAGAATAAAGAAGTTCTTTAAGGAAGGAGAGATAAGCCCAGTCTCTGTGATTATGCTTTCTCTAACTACGCATGAGGCTGCCAGTATTTACATATATACACCTGGAGGATAAAATGTGAGGCAAATAAGGCAAAAGCTAGTCAGACCTTTTAATAAATTAAAACTAAGATCAGCTGAAAAGGAAGAAAGTCAGTTTCAACATAAAGTAGCTCAATTAAAGTATCTAATTACAGCAAGTGTATATTAAACAACTAATGACTGTCTTTTTGAAATTAAGGTTCTATCAGGCAATCTGATACAAAAATGAGACCATGTGGCAACATATAATGAGATATCTGCAGGATGTGTGCCATTGAGAATAAGAAAAAGGAAGTATGTTTGGGTGGAATATTGGCTTGTGACATGATCCAATTTCTGAAAAGAACAGAAAAACCAAACAGTTCTCATTTTTTAAGCTTAACTGGCTGGGATATACTCAGGATACAGTAGAACATATTGATAAAAATCCCACCGAGCTGCCAAAAAAAGTACAATGTTGTTTTTGTACAACAAAACAACAATATTTTGTTTGCATTGAGATATGCTGTAAAGTTAACTGGCTACTATCATCTGATATCACTGAGAAAATTCTGGCATCATACAACTTCCTGCAAGAAGAATGTTATGTTTCAGCTTTAATGTAAGGATCTGTATATATATTAAGGAAACATTAAGGGGGAAACAATAAAAACCCTCCAGAAAACTACTGAGGCAGAGGCAAACCTAAAGGTTTGGCAGGTTAAGTACTAATGAGTACACTTATTATCAGTTAAGTACACTGAATCATTAGTTTTTATTTATCAAAATACTTAAGGAACTTATTCTGGTATTACATTAGCACCTCGCAGACGTAAAAGACTAATGTATCAAGTTCTAGACACCTAGACAAAGTGCAAGTAGCAACTGATCTTTGAGAAAGAAAATCATCACATCACTAAGAATTTATATATTGTTCAGAAGCACTCTGAGAGGAAAAAATTAGAATGAGTAATTAATAATCAGCTTTAATTATTAGTACTAGAGAGTGTACACCCCATGAAAGACAAGGGCTCAGTCAGCTTAAAATTCCACTGAAAACTTTTGAAGACAGGCAAAATGCCAGGAAGAAGTACTTTCTGAAGCTCCTTGGGCATGACGCCACCACTAAGCAATCAGCCCTGCTGCTGTCAAGATTAAATTTTCTGGTCAAACTGCTGGAAAAAGAGTACAAAAGAAACACTGAAGTGACTGGCAAGAGTTTATGATTTTATAGATGTATACTTATTTTAAGAGTAAAACCATCAAATATTAGTGCATCTTCCTTGCAGGAGGTACTCCTGTAGGTACATTGCCCAATGACACAAAACACTGGTTTAAATCACAGGAGAACTAACTGCATTCAGAATGAAGAACAAATGCCTACAACTATTTTGGGTTTGAGCAATGTTATAAATGCTTACAATAAGCAGAAACTATTTAAACTAGGAACACACTTAGCAGCTAGAAGCCATTTTACAAAAGCCACAGTGATAAGCACTACCTAACCCCCTTACCTCCCCCCAGCTATTATCAATTTGAGTGGTCTAGGGAGAAGGATAAGAGCTGCAAAAAACTCCTTCTTTCCCAGGGAAAAAAAAACCAAAACACATACTCTCTACAAACCAGTCTTACCCCTGGGTGAGATTTGCAACAGCCTGCATTATTTCCTGTTCCTGCAAGTGATTCACACCTTTTTTTTTTCTTCAGAAATAAACTACCTACACTACAGAGTAAAAAGGACACGTGCACATACTCACAGACACACGCACACACTCCCCTTGCCAGTTCAGGAGGGCTCCATCTACTAAAGGATATGGGCACTGATCACCTATTACAGTGCTAACTAGCAGTGCCATACACTGATGTATGAAATACAGACCTTAATCCTAAAGCAAGCCCTATACACAGCAATTATGAAGGAATGCTTTTATAAAATTCAAACACAGACACCACAATTCAAGCTAACTAACTTCAATGACAAATTTGGGGGTGGAAGGAGACAGAGAAAGGCATCCGACCTTTGTAAGGCAGGAACTCATGAGACAGTTGCTCAGAAAGCACAACACTCAGCCTACCAATCTGCACACTACAGGTAAGCGGGCACAGCCTAACTTCTGGTATTTATGAAAAATCACTTATGGTCTTATTCAGCCTATAAATACTCTGCAGAACCTCAGAAATGCCAGATCAATTTCCTGAACTCTGTATTTTTAACTAAACTGGTAGTTTAGATATAGCCAAACCACGTTTATTAGTATCAAAAAGGCTTTCTTCGCATGTCACTTCCTGCTCCAATCAGATGTTCTATGACAAAGTTATAAACACCTGAAAACCCACATTTATAATGGAAACACCAACAACCTGTAGGAAGAGGCCCTTGAAACAAAAATGCTATTGTAGTAGAAATGCATTAAAGTAAAAAGCAAACATGTAAAGTTTTCCGCAAGAACTAAGCTTGGTATATCAAGTATACAGAACATTACACACAAACACAAATGCACACATTCCCCTTTTCTACTGTCCAAAGCAATTACACCGCCCACATTCAATATCCTTTAACCACAGCCTGCAAAGTACAGTACTGGCATAGGTTATTCAGAATCATCTGTAGAGTAACCTATGCCAGTTTTTAATGCACAACGGAAATCTGGTTTGCTCCCAGCTGCTGGTATAATAATTACTGTCCTATGGTTGCTAAGAGATACTCTGAATTTTTTTCCAAGACTACTAAAACATTTCTGTGCGTGCAGGCAGAAGGACGCTGGGTAAAGCAATAAAATGACTCCAGCTGTAGCTCTCCAGCAGAATTCAATACCAGATGACAGCTGTAGAGAAAATGAAAACCAGACTGAGCTTCTCTTCTTCAAATTTTCTCTTCTTACTTCTCCCAGTTTGCCAAAGTCTGGGAGAGAATTCAAGATTGTTCTGCAAACATTGTTAAAAATGTTCTGCTCTAAGTAAGTTTAATGATTACACAGAAGGATGGATAAGAGACCACATTTCCGTTGCTCCCCAGTTCTCGTATTTACTTCCCATGAGGCCTGAAAATCAGCTGTTTAACGCTAACCAAAACAAGAAGCATTTAAATGTGGTTTTTTCTTTTTTTTTTTAATTGTGAATAAATGATAAAGATTTCAAAAACATTTGAATAACTTCTGCTTTAGCCATTTCTAAGAGTGATGGAGCAACTATTTCCATATTTGGCAAAGAAACTATTATAATCAGGTATTTAGTTCTAACACAGACTGAAATGTTACTTAAATTACTTCGAATGTTTTGTACAGTTTCAAGTAAAAAAATAAGGCATTTGAGACAACTTTTTCTTTCAAGTCTGTTCTACCTGAATTATATAGGTATATTATATATAACCTCAGCATACTGGAGGTTTTTAGGGATTCCAAGGAAGGAACAGGTAAACTAAAGTGTAACTTTGTAACTTGCAAACTGGCTGCTAGGGATACGGGGGTGGGGGGGTGGGGTGGGGTGGGGTGTTGGGCATGGGGTAGACCTTGAATGCTACTATACAAAAAAGCTTAATAAACCCAAATAATTTTGGCACAGTGTATGAGATTTATTTTAAATTGATAATATAAACTAGTATTACTTCCAGTTAGGAACTACACTTAGCCAATTTATTCAGTGCACTAAATATTGCTAATCTTTAGTCGTTTATCATGTATCTTCTTCTCCATAAAAGCAATACAGTGTTAAAAGTAAACACGTATGTTCTTCCAAGACATAGCATCAAGTTATTATTGTAAAATAAAACTTCTGCAAACCTTTTGTTAAAGACAAAATAAACTGAATGGCCACTAAATACTGCATTTACAACGAGCTCACTAAATAGAGTATTTACAGAGAGGCATGTGAACCATTTATGTCCTCCCTGCCTGCACCAATACCGCTTAAGACACGTGTAAGTTGCAGGCCTTTCCCCCTTCATATTGACAAAAAGCCCAATGCACCAGTATCTGAAGGAACAAGCCAAACTTTTTTTTCCTGCTTGTAACTTACCAGCCTGAAGTTTTCTTCTGCCAGTAGTAAGAAACTCAAGAGCATAAGCACTTCATTTCTTATGACTTCAAAATTGTTAAAATGTATTGCTAGCCTATAAATAACACCAGTATGGCTGAATCAACAAAACCTTAAAGAAATTGACTCAAATGCTCCATTTTTCAGTTCTCAAAAGCAAGACTTACACATTTCAGTATCCAAAACCACATAAAAATACTCCTACATAAGGAGGAGTATATATCCATATAAGTATATATGCATTCCCAGGATCCATTTACAAACATTGCAGGCAGTCAGCTAACTCTGCATTAGCTCATTTGTGTATTTCTATTTGAAATTAATCTAGTAAGACTAAGGCTTACTTAATGATTTAAACAATTTGCATATAATATGTTCATTAAATAACTAATAGCAATTATAAAAATTTTAGCAACCTTTACAAGCAAGTCTGAACACCCTTAAGTGATGGAATTTTTTAGTACTAAGATTTTAATACTACTTGCAAACAGAAAAGCATCTAAAGAAGCTATGTCTTCTTGACATTATAAGTTTGATCTTCTGTAAGAATGTTTTCTCTGTGAGGTTTTATTTAAAAAATGTAATTAAAAAAAATAAATCTAGTGACCCAAGATACAAGATAGTGAGCAAAATGCTAGTCTAGAAAACACAAGAGCTCAGTTTTTGAATTTGCATTTAAGAGTTGCACATACAAGTTTTGGACAACCCCTATTTCTGCCTGCTACATCCACAAAATGTGATAATACTTGTTACTAGTAGGCATTGATGTTTTACAGCAGTGCCACTGACTAGATCAGAAGGCTGTGTGTTTTGATCTTATCTGTATAAATTTATTTGCTTTCTATAGCACCAAATATAACCAGCCAGTAAAATAAATTTATGAAGCATGTTTTGCTTTCACTAATCATCTTCATTCTTAAAAACACAGTTAATGAAATTTATGTATCAACTACATGCTATATTCATACTTGCATACACATATTCAAATATGCACTAAATACAGGATTCCAGCTGTGTAAGATGACTGCAACAGCAAAGGCAAAACACCTTTACATCAAATCATGTAACTGACAAAGACCTATTAATATTTTCAAATGGACTCTGATGACATCCTGGGTACTTTATTTACTATACTAACAAAGAAAAACATGAAACCAAAGAATACCAATACACATAGTTACTACCAAGTACAGACAAAAATGTAAGTGCATTAACAAGCATGCTATAAAAAGTGTGAAATAAACCTTTTCTCTTTATGATATTCTGCTATCTTAGAAGCAACTTACAACTACTTAATATTTTTAATTAACTGGAGGAGCTCCACTGCTTGATCTGTTGTATTTCATTCCTTAGAGATTACAAATTATAATTCTGGAAGAATGTTCTGATGAAACAACAAATATGCTACTGCCCTCAGATCCAAGTGTCAACCTGCTCTTTAACATTCTATTCACATTCTAAAATGCCCTTGCATAGATATACTCTAAAACTTACACAAAAACACTATTAGAGATTTGGGAAAACAGTTTATAGAACAGGAAAAAAAACCCAAGCAAACAGGAAAACCAAAATATTCTTAGCTCTTTCAAACTAGAGTGGAATCGGAAGAAGGGGGGACAAGTCAACATGACTCTTTAAATTAAAATGGTCTTATTAGTCCTTCAACTTAAAAAAACCCTGGAGTATCAAGTGTCACAACAATATCAGCCTTGGAAAGGGAAAGAAATAAATCATTTGCAGGACAATGTACACTATTTGGTATTTTCCAGATATTCTTGATGACTAGACCTGTGCCTCTAACTAAAATGCTATAGCCTTTCTACACTGACATTCATAATCCTACAATTACAGCTTTGTTATTGATACATGCACCTCATTTAGATGAAACATAGCTAAACCAGGTGGGTTGAGCCTTCCTTGCCTTTCTACCCCCACTCTCCCTTCTGGTATTGTTGCAGATAGGCAATTCTAGTATCATTTATTTTACTTTGGTATGCAGTAATACAGTAAGAGAGACTGGCTAGCTTTTTTTGCCCCTAGAAAGCAGGTAATTCTTGCTATCTATCCATAGCATGAATCTACAATTAAGTAGTATGTGTTGGGTGGTGAAGAAATGGAATGTAACTGATAATTCTATCAGCAGTTTATACCAAACAGATTATTTGTACCTGTAAGTTACATATAAAGAAAGCTTTTTTTTTAAATGTACATATTATTTTAAATATATATAAAGTAAACCTACATAATCTATTTACATATCTAAATATATCTATATTTACATCTAAGTGAACACACTTTTCTCCAGTTTCCCAACAAGAAACTTTGTAGATATAATCACAGACATTTGCTTCAATTTTGGCATCCTCATATAGAAATGTAACAACTAGGCAGCATAATCAAGAGGTAATTAGTCTCCTCTAATCTCATTAGGCCTGTAGAAACTGCTCAATTATTAATCCTTGCAACAAAGCGTGTTTAAACAAGTCTTTTAAAAGCTGATTAAGAATTGCATTAACTTTGGCACACATTTCCTCCACCCTGTCAAAATCTCACTCCTATTTTATATCCAAAATATCTAATATTTATAGCAATTTTACTTTAAAGTGCCTTAAAATAAAGCACTGCAAATAAAGAACAACAGGTGGTTGCACAGCCAGCACTTAGACGGATAAATTTCTTCTACCATAAAATGGAAAGAAATCAGAAGTGTCTCCTGCATTGCCACTGCACTGCAGTATCCTTTCTAAATACTTGACTCTCAGCCTCCTACCATAATTTGATTCTTACCCATTCTTCAAAGCAGGCTGTTAATTTTCATGGGTTTGTGTTGCAAAGGTTCTACACTGCATCTATCTACAATGATGATTTAATTTTGCATAAATGACAAAACTCTTTCCCTCAAGAAATTAATTAGGAATACTATCAGTTTTCTGAATAGTCACTAAGACGCCTGAGTCAACTTGTTTCTAAATCAGTTCCATTTTAAATTTCTGCGCTCTGAAAATTGAATGTATGTGTGAATAAAGCCAAGACTTTCTCTGAAACTGTAAATAGGAAAGAAGAAATGATACACACACATAGACACAAGTACATTTTTACTCAGTTATATCTGTTTTATGTATATATGTATCCATAATATCCATTTATACTGACTTGTTAAGTACACAGATTCTTGGATATTACCAGGTAGTGCTACACGAGTGTTACAGTACCTGTATTTGTGTAAAGCATTACAAATCTGAAGCATAGAAGAAGGTGAGTTTTTACATTTTATGCCATTATGACCTATATTGAATGGTGTAAATATGGATCAAGAAAAATGTGAAACTCGGCAAATGACTGCTTTATCTTCAGTGTCTTTTAAAAAATTAGCCGAACTTCCACCCTCGTTTGGACTAGATTCTTTTAACTACTAACTCAGCATCTTTTCAACTCTAACTATATAATGTCAGAAGTGTCTATCACTGTAGAGTGAGATCTGGGAAAAAAACAGGACGTGCATGTAAAAGAAGAAAACTCCCGATCCTTTTATTCTTATTTTCCCAGAATAGTATTTCATCTTCCCATGAATTAGAAGAGAATACCTAACCTCTTGAGAGGTTGTAAAAGCAGACATTGTAAACGTAAAAATAAAACTCAGGATGGTTAATCATCCTATTGACCACCTACTTGTCAATAGACAATATTGTAAGCCTTCTACATAATTGTTCTGGAACTTATTTCATTAAACTGAATTTTGGCACTCCTCTTATTTTGTTTATTCTAATGGAAACAATTGTTCAATTAATTAAAAAAACTGCACAATTAATTTAAAAATTTAAATGCTCACCTGAAAGCAGTCTTCTGCCACTTCAACATCATTTTGGGAGGGTGGATAACCTACAGAAAAAGTAAAAAGACAAGGTTATTTTCTTTTTATTTACAGTTTACTGCTTCCAGTAGTCCACACAACCCTTCAATATTTGGCTGTGTTAATACAAATATGCTGGCTTTTTTAACCAGCGTATTTCAAGTTTCTTTTAATAAGTACCATTCATTTACACATTCTGCATTTTATACACTCAGTACTCCTAGCCACACTCCTCTGTCTTGTTGACACCTTTCTTGTAAAAGCGTTTTCAAAGTGTCATCAGAAGTCAGAAGCAAGGGAATATATTCTTGCTAATATAACATTTTGAAAATTAGAGGCAGATACTTTTGGTTGGTATAAATGCTCACTATGGTGTATATTGATATAAATCAGCAGAAATTGGAACTGTGAGACCCTAAGTGAAGAAAGGATTCATATGTTCTCCAGTTATTTCTCCTGCAGGGACATGGGTAATATCGGCACAATTCAAAAGAAGTAAGTCATTCTAGTATGTCAAAAAAGGATTTCCCTTCAGAAATGTTTCTCCCTTTGCTAGTATAATAACACACATTAAATACCTAAGTTTACAGTACATCAATAGCTCAGAATATTTTGTTTGAATTTCTCCCTTTAAGTTACTTTTCACAAGCTTGAAAGAGATGTTCTTTCTATTCAATAAACAACTGTTCTCTTCCCTCCTGGCCTCTCCCTATGCAGGAGCACATTTACCATACTTTCAGTTCAAAATCTAAGCTTGATGTTCTTCAGTTTGCTCACTAGTTTTCAGTTAGCCATATTGCTATTAAATTTTTCTACTGTCCCATCTAAACCTCTTCTCAGAACTACTCTGTCAGCTGTTAGTAAACAAATAGAACCATTAAATGAAAGCACATGCAGATAAAAAGAGAACTCAAGGAGTCTCAACAGTTTATCCTTTAAGAACATAAGAGGCTGTTACAAGCTTCTAGAAAGATTCAAGTAAGGCAAGTAACACTCTAGCTTCCCCCATTTCTTCATCACTAAAACAATGGAGGCAATGCTTTATTATGACAGGATATTTTGAGAAATTACCTCATTAGTGTCTGTGAAACAGCTTAAGACACTTAGATCAATGGCACTTTAGAAATGCCGGAAGTACTATTAAAAACCTGTTAAAATCTCAATACGCTATAAATCAATTCACATCCTTAAATATTGCCAGCATTAATGTTAAGCAAAGTGCTTTGACTTATTTACTAAACAGTTGCGATACCCTCCCCCCCACCCTTCATCTGAAATATGTACCTTGAGAAATATCCTCTACTGCTCTCCGAATACCTCTATCAAATGCTCTTGCATCAGCAGGACTCTGAAATGTGAGGCCGAACTTTTTGTCATCAATCTTCCAGTGGTAAAAAGTAGGAGTAACTTTGTTGTAAACAAGGTCCTTCTTTAATGTGCATTCCAAGACCACCTTCCAGAAAGAAGACAGAAAGAAAAGATACCACTGAGAACAAAATTTAGTCTTTGTGAGTTACCAGAAAACATACATCATAAGAGTGGGTAAGGGCCTCTAGTTCAAATTTCTTCCTGTTACAAGGATGTAATTTTAACCTATTTTCCATTATGGTCAAATTATTCACTAAGTGTTACTCATAGGTGGTATGGGTTAAGGACACTATTTTTATACAGAGTAAATCTTCCCAGCCTCAAAAGTATATGATCCCTACAGCGAGCACTTCTGTCAGTATAGACTTGCTAGATATTCAGCAAATGAAATAGGCCACACTTCAAAAAACATTACCGTGCTGATATCAAGTATTAGTCTATCACTGGTTATCTCATTTGTATACTTATTCTATCAAACTTTTAAGCACTAGACTAACTTAATGCTGCTTTCAGGCCACATCAGTTGTCTCCCAGAAAGGCTACCAGACAAGAGAATCATTTTAAAAACTGAAATTAATCAGAACTAAAATCTTTTTGAACCTATTACTGCCTGTACCTAGACACAAATGTATTTATGGCTCGCGGTCAACTATAATGAAAACAGTAATTAGGAATAATTAACAGAATTATTTGGCAACAAAAACATATACATGCACATTCAGTTATGAAGCAAAGTTGCAGCCTTCAACATCATTCCCCCACTCTAAATTGCCTGTTTTTAGAAATAGCTGCATAATTCACTTATCTGCAAAATTTATGTTACGCAACATTGTTACATTGAATGTTTCTTGATTAAAAACAATCCAAGGTGAACAAGAAATTACAGAGGGACATGCACTGATATTTTCCTGTTGCACTAGGTATAATAAATGGCACAGCAAGACAACCCGTATTGCTGTATTACTACTAGATTCTAAAACCCCTACTGAGAGATGATTGAGGAATTATATCATTTTAACATTAATGTATTTCCAGAATTAAATATTTAATTGTTATGTATGCAGCTTTGAGAGAAAAAATACAAAATTTCTTACAGCATGTGGAAAAAATGAGGTTAATTGTAACAGTTAACCTCCAAATTTCAAAAGAAATATATGTCTGAACTTAGATTATTCTTGCAAATCCTTTGTGTTCTTTCTCTCCTTTCCTTATCGATTGTATAGGAAAACGGTTGTGGGTTTTTCTTCCTCTTGCTCTTCATTACCCTACACCCCATCATTAATCATCTTGAGTTTTACTGCCTTTTAGCTCTGTCACTAGAAGGATGACATTATTTCTGCACATATAAACTCTTCCAGTTTATATGCCCAGAAATAATTTTTGTTACTCCACTCTGATTCCCTAAATGGTCAACAAAATGTAGGTACACCTGTCTACAAGGAAGCACAGGAAAGAATCTTAATTATTTGCTGCAGGTGCGCAGGAAAAGGTGCTGCAGGATTAAAAAAAAAAAAAAAAAAAGAAGAAAGTATAGTTCTGCAGTTCTAAGGTGTATTAAATGATCATTCTTTGTCCCTTTTGATGCTTTTAAACTTGTTTGCTCCTAAAATAAGGAGTTAAAATTTGAAGGTTTCTCAAACCACTTCATTTTCTAGGTCTGTGAGTACTTTTGGGGGATCTCTACTATATTTAACACCAGCTTTTTCACACTATATTTTGTGTGCAATTTCACCCAAAACATCAACAAGAAGTACTGCATTTCACAGCATCTTGCTCCCAAAGGAGTTAATCCAGATTATTTCATACTGAAAATTCAAACCTGAATGACAAGCATTTTTAAAAGATAACGTACCACTGGAGATAAACTACTGGATTAATACTTTATTGAGTCAAAGCTATAATTTCCAAAGAAATCCAAACCAAAGCAGAAACCCCCCAAACCAAACCCCTAACCCAAAAAACACTTCTACCATCTCAACCTTTAAACACCCCCCCAACCTCCAAACCTCACAATATTTCATAAAACAAATTAAATCAATCATTAACAAAACAATTATTCAATCATTAACAGAACAAGCAAACATCTTATCAAACACCAGTTATTTTCAGACTGATTTGAGGAAACAACGAGTTTAACAGCACAATACTTATTTTTCAGATTTAAAGCTGTATGAAAATAGACCAGTTAACACATGAGGCAAGTGGTTAATGGCACTGAAAGGGGAAAAATTAGTTGCATCAAAATTGTGCGTGTTATGAAACGTAAGAAACCATATAGGTGAGACTTTATGCCTACCCAACCTGAGAGAAAACTCAATAGATGTAGGTTGAAATCAGCAGCGGCACAGTAATCTATAAAATCCCTGCCTTCCATAGTTTTTGTTGCACACAGAAATATAAAAACCCTAAACCAATCAAAAAAAAGCCCCAACGATCTCCTAAAACATTACCGCATCACCAGAACACTTTTACACTTCACAATGTATTTTTTTTTCCCCATGTTAAACAATGTCATCAAAGGCTTCTTATAGGACCCCTTCAGATACTGGAAGGCTGCTATGAGGTCTCCACGCAGCCTTCTCTTCTCCAGGCTGAACAGCTCCAACTTCCTCAGCCTATCTTCATACGGGAGATGCTCCAGTCCCCTGATCATCCTCGTGGCCCTCCTCTGGACTTGTTCCAACAGTTCCATATCCTTTATATGTTGAGGACGCCAGAACTGTACACAGTACACCAAATGAGGTCTCGGGAGAGCAGAGGGGCAGGATCACCTCCTTTGACCTGCTGGTCACGCTCCTTTTGATGCAGCCCAGGATACAGTTGGCTTTCTGGGCTGCGAGCGCACACTGAAGCCGGCTCATGTTCATTTTCTCATCAACCAACACCCCTAAGTCCTTCTCCACAGGGCTGCTCTGAATCTCTTCTCTGCCCAACCTACAGCTGTGCCTGGGATTGCTCTGACCCAGGTGTAGGACCTTGCACTTGGCATGGTTAAACTTCATAAGGTTGGCATCAGCCCACCTCACAAGTGTGTCGAGGTCCCTCTGGATGGCATTCTTTCCCTCCAGGGTATCAACTGAACCACACAGCCTGGTGTCATTGGCAAACTTGCTGAGGGCGCACTCAATCCCACTGTCCATGTCACCAACAAAGATGTTGAACGAGACCGGTCCCAACACCGATCCCTGAGAGACACCACTCGTTACTGGTCTCCAGCTGGACATTGAGCCATTGACCAGAACTCTTTGTGTGCAGCCATCCAGCCAGTTCTATATCCACCCAGTGGTCCATCCATCAAATTGATGTCTCGTCAATTTAGAGACACAGATGTCGTGTGGGACAGTGTCGAATGCTTTGTGCTAGTCCAGGTAATGACATCAACTGCTCTACCCCTGTCCATCAGTTCCCTAGCCTCATCATAGAAGGCCACCAAATTGGTCAGGCAGGATTTCCCCTTAGTGAAGCCATGCTGGCTGTCACCAAGCACCTTGTTGTTTTCAATGTGCCTTAGCATGGCTTCCAGGAGAATCTGCTCCAAGATTTTGCCAGGCACAGATGTGAGACTGACTGATCTAACAAAACAGGGTTTTTTTTAATAGACATGGGTTACTGTTCTGAAGGTTTTCTTTATTTAGACTTCAACACCAATACGAAGCAGCCACCTTAGCATGTAATGGGAAATGTTGCAGTTATCAGACTCAAACCAGAAGAGCTCCAGATCCACATGATCAAGATCTAAATTCTCAGAGCATGAACAGGGCTATGTCTACTTACTACTATTCAATGACCAAAAAAAAAAAAATAAAAAAACCCTTTAATATCCGTATGTCATTAAGTACAACACTAACAAGTTCATAGCTAACCATAAAAATACTTGCTTGATACACTTCTACAAGCTGTATTCTTTAAAGATATTATTTGTCTTGTGTAGACAAGTTGAATCTCTAAAGTGAGAAATTTTAAACCTCAACATTTCAAACCCAAATACTTCTTAACAAAAATGAGCAAAAATATTAGCATCATTATCTAGGGCTTATTTCAGAAACAAGCATTTCAGATAAAATTCCATTTTGATATCAGACCCCCCTAATCAAACATTTCTAGATTCTGGATACCATTTTTCCAGTTTCTAGCTGTACTTTCAACAGCTTAAATACAGTATTACACGTAGGTATTTTCTCAATTTTTCATTCCCAGCCCTAATCTACAAACATGTAACCGCATAGGTTTGGTGAAACTTCTCAATGCCTTTTCTACTGAACAGTATCAAAGGCTTTTCTCTAGTCTTGGGACCAAGCAGCATGACCCGAGTATATTCACGCTATAGACCATGTGGCCCCAGTGACATGATTATAATCTTGTGTGTGCTTTTTTTAATCCTAATTCAAAAAGAAAGATAATGTAAGGGCTGTACTACCTCTCATGAGAACCAATTTTTTCTCAATCTTTAAAGCCAATTAAAAAAGTAAATGATTAAGTTTCTGAACAGTAGATTTCTAGAACAGAGCAGTATCTATATTCAGTTTCAGCTTTGTATCTTCCCCTTTTATACAAGTACCTCTTCTTCACAAGAAAGGTTGTAAACTTTGTCACTCCCAACTCATTAACCAAAAGATACCACTCACTTCTTGTTTTCTTTCACTAAACACTTGCATGGCAAAGGACTGGAGAATAAAAAAGAAAAAAAAAAAAGAAATCAAGCAGAAAAGTCTGTTAGACTTCTCATTCAAGAAATGAAGACCTTTAAGTAAACATCAGACTTTTCACTCCAGAATGTAAAACTCACCAAACCCTAAAAAGTTGTGAGGCTGAGCCTAATGTATGTTTAACACTAATACTATTAAGACAGAAGAGAGCTACTGTAAACACAGTAAAAGAGAGCAGCAGACCTGACCAGGTTAGGAGGGATTGCAGTTGTTCCAAGCAGACTGGCTGGAGCCAGATCTAGGAAGGTGAGTATAATAAAGGAAGAAACATGTAATTATGTCAGTCTTCAAGAAATACCCTTACATTCCAAGTCAGATCTAAACAACCTGAGCAAACTACTGCGGAGCATTCCCTTTCATAAATTAATTCAGTGGTGTCACCACTTTGATTTTTTTTCTCAGATAACTAGGATCCTTTTTGTGAACCCCATGACATGTTTTAAGTAGCTTGGTACTGCACAAAAACTTTGGAACTTCTACATGTAGACTGAAAGTAGCTCATAAAACAGCTGACAGCAATTTAACTCTTGGGTATATAAAGAAACAACAAGAAACTCTCACCCTCCTCCACATCCACTGCCCGCATCACCACTCCACCCCCAACAAGGAACTTCGATATTTTGATGGTCAGTCCCAAAGTATTTAATTTACAGAGCCGAGTTACTGACTGAGATCTAGTGTCTTTAATTAATTATTATTAAATGCCTACATAACCTATAAAATATATGGAGAGATCCAACACACTGGAATGGAATTGCAATGCAGTGTCAGAAGCAGTACCTGGAAAAGCAGCAACTAAAGCTAGTTTACAAGCAACAGTAAGAGAAGAGATAAAAAGATATCTAATTCTTTTTTATTATAACTATTAAAGAGGCACCTGGAAGATACCGCCATCAATACCTCACCTATGGATTTCAAGTTTCTTTGGAATAAATTCTACCTTTCTACTGACACACAGGCTGACAACTAATACTGGCGTTATGATTCCCATATATCTTAGGTAGAAGTAATTATCTGAATAACAGTTGCTCTCTAACCTGAGGTATTTCAAACCCAGTACTTCCCTGTGTCCCAGAAAAATGCTCCAAATTTCATGCTATAGGCTTTCTAGAATAGGGGAATTTCTAAACCTTTTCTGGAAGCTGAGCCAGTTCAGAAAAGAACAACTTATGGGCCGGAGGAAATAAAAATATGATCTAGTTACAAAGGTACTTTAACAATGTACAATGGGGGAGGGAGAGGTGTGTAGAGAGAGGGAAGATTTCATTTTTAAAGAATACTTTCTTTTTTAATCCATAGGAGTATTTTCAGAAATGGCTGTGTGTAGTCTGCAAAAAAGTGAGTGGCTTGGAAATTGTGATCCAGCTGACTGAGCTGTAATGACTTCTGGATACTACAACAGCTTAAGCATTCCTGAGGACACGTGCTCAAAGTCTGAATAACGGAAATGTTCAAAATGATTTATGGTTGATGAGCTTTTTTAAAACAATACTGCCACTTTCTCTTTGCAAATATAATGGCAGAGCAACCAAGTAAACCAAGTACAACTAACCTCAAAGATTATTCAGATACACAGATTTACACACTAAGGCCATTCTAAAATGAGATTAGAGTGATGTTGGAGCATGGAAACAGCTGACTCAGTATAACTCTTCTTCAAAATCAGATGATCAAAATACCTAGTCCCTACTCAACAGTGAACATGATGAACCCATAACAACTTCAACTTTTACTTTATTTTTACAGAAAAAAAAAGAAGAAAGTGTTTTGTGTCACTGAAGTAACTCCTCTTTGAGAACACAGCCTTCTTCACCCTTTCTGTTGAAAGTGTTAATTGCATTTCAACTTCTTGGTGTTATTTTTCTTGGTCTTTTCTTTGTGTTATGAAATATAATAGTCACCTGTCAACTCTATTTTGACTAAAAACCCAGTTGTTTTGCTTCATTAAAGAGAAGGTTTAAATGTGTGCTTGAACAGTGAATCCAAAGGAATGTCTTTGGAAAAAGCATTAATTATATTGAAAATCAAAACAGTGACTGGATCAACAACCAACAGAATTTCTCTTCCACTTCTTGACTTCCAGTCCTTCTGAAAGTGTTATCACCCAACAAGGCCCTCACATACCTTGGTGTAGGATCTTGTTTCTTTCATGCCAACAGAGGTATTGTTGCATACTGTGCAACTGTTGTTAATTTGTTACACACTAGCTGTTGCTTATAAATGCATTATTTGAAGTCTGAGGAAATACACACACATATAGCTTCATTTTACTCCATTACCAAGCATCACTTGCTCTACAGTATTCCTCCCCATAGCCTTAATGTGAATTTGTTAGTTCCCTGAACTTTATTCAATATACACTGGATAGGTGTTCTTCTTAGTTGCATTTCTTCCATCTTTTATCCTATGTTTTTGAGGAACTGACTTCCAACAGCAACTTCCTAAAACTGCTGCAAGATGAAAATCCACAGTGACAGACTAGTTAGTCACATTTGTGGGCAGCAGGGGGGAGGACAGATGGACAAAGGATGGGGGACACACAAAAAAAACCCAAACCAACCAAAAAAAAAAAAAAAAACAATAAAAAAGAAAAACCAACCACCCAAACCAACTGTTCAGGACAATGTTTGGAAAGCATTCATACTAACCTGAGCTCAATTTTGGACAGGAAGAGGAGCAGAGACATTTAAAGTCTACTACCAGCAGTGGAAACAAAAACAAGGCTTGCCTAGGGGAAGCAGGAGAGTGAGTGCAAGCAGATCGGGATGCCGATGGCTACGACATTTTCATATGCATGAGGGAGAAACATTAAACCAGCTTTCAGTTCCGAGCATTTTATTACCCTCAGATTCTGAAGGCAAGCTGTGAATGTCAAAAGTATTAAAAATTAAGAGAAAACTGTCAAGTATCTCTAAATGCAATTAAGCTCCTCAAAACCAGCCTCAATAAGGATAAAAAAAGTTCTAAAGGGAACTACTGTGAAGTGAGGAAGGAACTGCAGGTGCACATAGTTGTGCAGGAACACAGGGTACTCTGCTAACAGCACTACGCCTCCCTGAAACAACTGAGTCAGCAGAATTTCTATTTATATGCTCTCTTCCTACAACAGCCACAGTAAGGCAGAAAATTCAGCAGTGCTGCCTCAAGAAACAAACTGGTATAGTTGAGAAAGAATCACCAGTACAGTCTAAGAAGCAGTTCTACCTTTAAGCTTATACAGGAATCATAGATTATTGGCAGAAAAGAGTAAGTTCTTCATAGAAGTCATTAAGATGGAGGTTTTGTGCTTTCCTCACTTCTGTTTCCACAGTAAGACACCGCCCCCATCAGAAACCTATTTAGCACATAAGTAGCCAAGCAACGTTAATGTCTTCTATAGGTCTGCATGTAGAAATGGCTGAGATCCTACCCCAGTTTTCCTTTTGTGAGGCTATTTAAGGCAAGTTTCTGGTACTTAATTTAATGTAGCTGATAAATGAGTACTGTCTGCTGTTCATCAAACCAGATCAATTCTTGGGCCTTGTAAGCTTCATGCTTTCATCCAATACAAAAGTTGTTTTCATGTACAACGGCTACATTTTGCCATAGGCAAATTCCACAACTGAATCAGTTCCTCAGTAAAGGAATTCCTCCGGACTTGTGTTTTTAACAAGTTCTAATTTTCCAACACTCCTATTATACACAATATCATTGGTGTATAAACAGGTTAATAAGTAGTTTTAACTTTAACCCTCGATTTGAAAAAACACCTGAATAGCAAACTCTTTCCCCAAACAAATGGAAATCTGCAATGAACAAAAAGTATCTTCTAAAGTTTCTAAAAGATCAATGTGCTTAATTCTAGAAATGCATGGTATTACACCTAAAACAAATAAATGGCTCTTTAGGTATATAATCATTGATATGGACAAAAGCTAAGCAACAGCATGAGGCTGAGACTATAAATTTACTTTCTAGTCTACAAGCAACAATAAACAAACATCTACTCTTAGGTCCTACGTGGTTTTAATAGGAACATTAAACAGATGTAAATTGTTACCGTTTTATCCCTGAGTCGTTCTCCATGGATAAGAAAATCAGCACAGCTATTCTCTTCCTGGGGAATGACTTTGAAGACTGTGACACAGCTTAGTCCACCCCCTCCAAGTGGTAACCATCCACCACTTGAGTCATCCCGGGTCATCACCACAGCTCGCACTCGTGCATAACTATTACTGGAAGAGATGCAAAAGAAGAAATTAGTTTTCCATAAACAAAACCCAGCTAAATGTACTTAAATAAAAAACCAAAACAATAACAATAAAAAATTATAAACCCACAACCAAGATCATGATAACATTGTGGAGGATTAATCCTTCCGTAACAGTCACCTAAAAGAAACCAGTCTAAGACAACCCACTAAAAAAATGTTCCTCTGTATTTTTATGCCTTCATTAGGACTTCTTGGGGCTTACATGCAATTTGTTTTAAAAAAAACTTAACCAGACAATGTAGTTCCTCAGAGTCAAAATGATATTTGTCTAAAAATCTTTACAGTCAGTGATCTAGCTAGAGGGTCAGGGGTGGGAAGAGAGTAAGAAACAACTCTTGATTTATTTTAGACTAATCATGAAGCCAGTCAGCCACCATGAAATTGCACAGAAAAGAGAACAAGAAAGCAGAAAGAGGTCAGGCCTTCTGCCACTGAAATCTAAACAAGAACGGGCTTCTAGCCAGAAGCCCTGCTTCCCTTCATTCCTCTGTACCTCTTCCCCACACACATAACCCGTCCTTTGCAAGGGTAGGTCAGGACATACACACTGTGGGGTTTGACAACAAAACCAGTTATGGCTACTTAAAACTTACTATTTGCAGTATCTACTAGCTCATTCTCTCCTGTATTTGCAGTGTGTGGAAAATTATTTGCATTTTACAATTTAACAGCTTTTTCCATGACTTAATGTTTTTATAAAATAAACAAAATGGTTATTACTTCATTTATTAAAAGCCAAATTCCTTTTCCAGAGTCTTACAAAAAGGTTTTGGTGACACTCTCAGGTTTTATTTCTTTTAAAATAATGACACATTTTAGCTTTGGTTATGAATTTGCTGCTACATCAGCTGGAAAGTCCCATGACTTACCAAGGATGGTACAAGATCCTACTTTCAAAGTATGGTTTACTGCATGAATGCAACAGTCCATGAATGAAGATTCCAACACTTTGAAAGAAATGAGCTTCACAGTATCTTCTGCAACACACTGCTGATTGAGGGCTTAAGTATTTATGCCACTTAGCATTAGTAATATCAAATTTATGGACTGAACAGGAAACATTAGACAACAAAAAAGTTGTTCCTTCTGTACAAAATTATTTATGATATAACCATTCATCCAATTGTTGTATTTTAAAGTGATCACTTCTTGCTTTTTTTTTATTTTCCAAAATGTCCCAAAATAACTGAAGGTTGCGTACTTAATATATTGCGTTCTCACACACATGATTCACACATATGATTCACATATAGATATATATATAAGAGAATTTTGCTGCAAGCATCTACAGCTCAAATGCATAATGGCTTGCAAAATGGGAAATAAAACAAGACTATCTAATTTTAGTTTATAGGCAAGTGAATTTGTTTGTAGAGACTTTGTTTGCTCCCTCCAAGCAAAAAATCAGCCTCCTCCTCCTCCCCCTAAACCTCATAGTTAAAATGACAGTTCAGTCAATGTTTCTCACCATTTCTGTACAAACATCTTTTAGTAACTTCTCCCACACAGCAGATAAATATAATCAAGAAAATTCCAATCCTTCATTGTATGCATCTATCAATTCTAAGAGCTGCAAGTAAAAATGGCTATATCTTGGCGCTTAATAATATTACTGAAAATTGGTCTCTATTACTGTATTTCAGTTAGAGATAAGTTCGGGCTGTAGTTGTACACTTCAGACAGATAGTGTTTTATCTCGTATGTCTCAGGTGAAGAGGCCTCTTCTTACAGAAACTGAGCACACTGGGACTTTCCTGTGAAACAGAAACGGGATGCACCAACTAGTTAAACCTACACACTCTTTGCTATTCTCCACTCAAGTGAGCCAACAATTCAGCTTAAAAGTTATTCATTCTACAAATTTGGTCATAAATCTTAGTATTAGTGATCTCTTGTATACCAACAGACTGTAGGAGCAGTTCAGTTAAACATCATTTAGGGATATCGCAGGACTTACAGAATCATAGAACTTCACTCAGGCTACATGAAAAAACTTGAACTATAACAGAATAACTTTTTTTTTTTTTTTAAATGAACGTTTACACTCCATATCCATTTTCTGCTCAAGGATTGCTAAGGAGAAGCTAAGGTGGAGGATACATATCATACCTCAATAGCTTTGTTACTTCCATCTGCCATAAGATTTTTGTCAGTATTGGGTTTTTTCCCCCACTTCCCTATACAGAGCCACCTAGTCTGGTTTACTTAACATTCTTGTGTTTTGCTTCCATGTTTTCTAAACTGTTGTTAAACAAGATTTACCCTTTCAAATATTCTAGAAACTACTGTCAAATCCACTGCATTAGCGCAGCAGCCAAAATAAAACTCCCCAACAGGTAATACCTAATGAATAACCTCTTAAATGAAAACAGCTTTTTCAGAGAACCACCCTGTAAATTAACCAGAAAAATTCACTACTGTACCTGTAACAATGCCAAAGATTATGAAGAGATTGCTTAGTTTTGTTTTGTGGTTATTTTTTAAATTTTACAGGGACTCAAAATTGGCAACAATAGTTATTTTTAGTAACAATACAAGCTGGCTTGCAATTAGCCACAAATCAGCAGAGGAACTTAGGAGTGATTTCCATTTCCAAAATCCTCTGCAAACAAAACAGCACCCGCCTAGCACATCCGTGGTGCTACCGAAATGCTTGTATCTCTAAGCGTTTCAGCCCCCATCCACATTTGGGAATTCTGTAACAAACTGCTGAACTGCTGATGTAGCTTAGCTGTGGGAAAAGGCCACACAAGGCCCCAGTGTTTTCCAGCACCACACCTACAATGTAGTATTTCTACCTACTCTTGCAGGTTTAGCAGCTCTATCAGGAACAACTAAACAAAAGAAAACCAACCAAAGTGGGCAATCAGTTGAGCATTGCTCTATTACTACCACAAGCATGCAAAACATACCATGAAGAGCAGCACTGCAACAGCAGGCCCAAACCTGTCACATTATATACAATAGTTCCTGAGACCCCCTGATTTTGGTTGTGGCAACTGGAAACTTCAGGCAGAAGTCATCTTAAGGTAAGTTTAACATATTGTCTCCAGTTTCATTCTAGAAGTATTAGCAAATGAAGATGATTCTTGTTCCAGAAAATCAAAAGCTGGAGTGGGGTGAGCTAAGAAGCCTGAGAAAGCATTCAGGGGCAGACATAAAGGGCTTGGACAGGGAAGATACAAGACTCAGTCCTTGCCTGCCATCAACTTTATTTCAAGAGCATCAAGCATTAAAATCTGACCACAGGCTTCAAAGGCACTCTCCTCCCTCCAAAAACTTGTTTATACGAGTATAATGCTCTTGGGCCCAAAATGACTTATGGTCTGGATGACCAAACTGTTGTTCAAGCCCAGGAAGCAAGCCACTGATCTTGACAGGCTGGGAACTTCAGCTCAGCAACTGATCTTGCGTTTGGTGGCTGGGGGAAGGAACACAATTGTAATTTCATCACGAATTTCTTTTTCTTTTTTATAAAAAAGAAATTATTTTGACAATTTGTGGCATTTCTTATGTGTAATACCAAGCCAATTCAAGATACCGAACATTATTACATTTGTCTTTTCTTCCATCAGTGTTCCAAAAGAGAATGAAGGTTAAAAATTTTCTGCCAAAATATTTTTCCCGAAGAAAAAAGGGAAGAGATGTTGAAGGAGGAAAAGAAAAAAATCAAAAGCAGCTATCTTACAGAATCATAGAATGGCTTGGATTGGAAAGGATCTTAAGATCCAACCCCCCTGCCATGCTTGTTGAATTACATTTATTTATTGTCGCCATTACATTTATTTGAACCCAGTTCCAACAGTATACAAGTCTTCCCTCTCCTAGATTCATATTAAGCATTACCATTCTTTTATTTGTATTGCATCCTGCACATTACTATTTTAATATAGGACTGAGAAACAGTAACAATGATCTCAGAAATGTTTGTTAATACAATTGAACTGTAACTGCAAATTGCTTTTAGTACTATAAAGCTTAATACCATCATCATCATCGAGAAACCTGGATCTTCAATGGGAATTATAACCTGAACTATATGAGAAACAGACCCTCTTAGCTTCAGCAAAAATATCTGACATTATGGTTTCTTTCAAAGCTGGAAACCAGATTTGCAGAATGAGACTCTGGGTTTCACGTGGACACCAGGTTCACAAAAAGCTGGCAATGTGCCCTTGAGACAGTGGATGCCAGCGGTGTCCTGGCCTTGGGAGAAGCACTGCCATGAGGTCAAGGGAGCACTCTGCTCAGCACTGGTGAGGGCATACCTGGATAGCCACATCCAGTGCTGAGCACCCAAAACAAAAGTGATAAGGAGCTACTGGCAGAGTCCAGCAAAGGCCAGTAAGATGGCTATGGGACTGGAGCATGTGTCATGAGGGAAGGCTGAGAAAACTGGAACTGTTCAGCCTGGGAAAGACTCAGAGGTATCTTATCAACATACAGAAATACATTTTAACATCAGGAATGACTTTTTCACTGTTTGGGTGCCTGAGCACTGGCACAAGTTGCGTAGAGAAGTTGTGGTATCTTCATCCTTCAGAGATACTCAAAAGCCTCCTGGATATAGTCCTCCTTGAGCAGGGGGTGGTGGCTAAGATGACATCCAGAGGTCCCTTTCAACCTCAATTATTCTGTGTTCCTTTCTTTTATTTAATACCATATTTCAAAGCATAGCAATTTCAATAAAATACAACTTTATAAATATAATACGGGTTAATTTATGGGAATTCACGATACTTTGAAGTAAGAGTTGTCACTATGCACAACTGCTATTTAAACACTTCTGACAAGGCTGAGAAGAAAAAGGCGTTCTGAAAAATCGTGACACACTTTGCCATGAAATTAAACTATCTTTGCTGGCACGCAAAGTAACAACTCCAGGCTGATCTCCAAATCAGAACTGGTGAACTGGTCATGGATCAAGGCTCTTTACCTTTGACTGTCACTTTACACGTGTAC